GAAATGAAACAAATTCTACAAGGACCTCTCTCAACTGCTCAAAAATGCTCGGTGAACGGACATCGTGGTGGTCGCTGGAGATTTCAATGCTCAAGTCGGATCCTTAAACGAATCAGAAAGGTTTCTTGGTGGTATTCATGCCATCCCAGTCAACCGGAAGGAAAACAGAGAACGCATGATCTAACTTTGCGCTGACCACGGACTATTTCTGTCAAGCATCAAATTATCGCACAAGAAACGACAAAGCCTTGCACGGAAACCGCCAACCGCTTTACAGCGTTGTACGCAAATCGACGACATCACTACCGGCTACCGGTGGCGAGGATCCATTGAAGACTACCGCTCTTACTGCTCAACACCGGTAGACGCGGACCATGCTCTGCAACGAGTCAGATTATCCCTATGTTCGATGACTAATCGCAAGAAAACCACCGACAACGGGTACCACAATAACTCTTGCTTTAACGCAAACGGATTAAAACCGCAATGGTATGCAAGGAAATCAGTATGGTGATTCCTCTCACACAATACCCTTGCTAATTATAAAATAATATACTTCCTCACTCATCGTTTATTTAAGGATCGTCGTTTAAATAAACAAACACTTTCTACAAATGAATCAGTCTCTAGCTCTCAAAAGGTAATTTATGAAACTGCCAGAGCATCCATTAGCCCACTCCCTTCTCAATTATTTTAGACCATCAGTAACTACTCAAAATTTGTTTTTCAACCACCTAATATAGGACAGGACATGATATAGAAACGACCAACATTTTCACATTTACCATGATTTTATTCAGCAGGAGCGAATTCAACAATTGTTAGTTCCTTTTTCATTGCATTTCTAAACTTTTCTCTTTTTTTATCTCATTCTATTCAATTGAGATGGAACTCTAGTTCTGCATGGGAACGACTCTACGAATCTCCACATTTTACACAAATCCCTGGAATCTGTTTTTAGTCTCCGTTTTTTGGTCAGATGCTCTTTTTCCGATAAAGATAACAAGGATCTTTCGGCTTGAATAATAAAAAATTGTGAGAAGCTGTCTCCTCAGTTTGCTCGGTTAGATTGTCAAGTGAAACGGAATCAGCTTTTCACTTGGCATTCACTGATAAGTTTTGAAATAAACAGAACATATGCCATCAGAAGTCCTTCATCTGGAAAACAGTCTGTTCTTACTGGAAAATAAAGCACTTAAAAATATGCTTCTTTTCCTGCTCAGGTGTATTTAATTAGTTGCACAACAGAAAAAATATCGTTCCTTTGATGATGATATTGTCATAGTAATTAACCTAAATTGACCATGCATTGTAGGTAGCATATCATTAATAAAAAACCTTCAATCGGTCAGTGATTTTTGACGCAAATACTTGTTACCCCAGTCCACAAGAACTCACTCAAAAACAAATGATCCTTTACCGTGTCCATAAATAGATTATTATTCCATTTCATAACTGTGCACCCAACCAAATATATTGGGTGGTGGTGGCTCACGAGTTAGATTCGTCATTGTCGGAGGTCAATTTATTTGCATCCTTAGACCATCGGAATCCTCCGTCTCTCTCTCTCTCTCTGTGCGTTTTCAACTTTCAAACATACTTTCTACCCCTTCATCTAAATGAGCAACTAAAAGACAGAAAGTAAACCTGTCACAAAAACTGAATTTTAATTGTTGAAATCCCGCAACGGCCGATCGTCACTCATATTTACGTGTCCTTAAACAGTTATTGAGCAGCTATAACTTCCTTTCTGGAAGTCCGCAATACACTCTTATATGCAGTGTTGAGTGATATTATGTGAACTACTCTTTTGTGCGACGGGAACACTCCGTTGACTAAATGACCCGCCACTGGTCCTAAAAACGTCCATTAATAACCTGCCTTCATAGTGTTTGTGGGTTAAATCCAACTGTTATCTGAAGTTTGAAGACGAAAAAATAAAAGAGTATATGAACGGCTGGATATGTTGCAAGCAGTTAGTTCCCCTCGAACAACTGGAGACTTGAAAAGTTTGTCTAGGTTGCCATTTTGGTCGGGAAAAACGATTACTAAATGCCGAAATTCAGTACATTGCAGTTATCGGATATTGCTCTGCTACCTTGTGGGTCAGACTCCAAATATCTGAAAATTCAGATTGCGAAAATCACTTCTTTGGTTAAATAACTCTTCAGATTGCTTATAGTGCCAATGAGAGTTGGGTAACTGTGAGATCATTTTATTGCATTTTTGTTGTTTTCACCCATTACCAGATCCAACTGCATATTGTCACAGAATATTCTCGCTCATAAATACGCGGTTTTTCGGGAAATTATTCAGTGTTATACAATAGTAAACACAAAGTTCTTTAAATCAGAACACAATAGATGAAAGACATAGGAAACGTCTCGTTTACTCCGGTTCCGAAAACTCGCCAAAAAAACAGATAAGTCATAGATGATAAAGTTGTTCGATTGTACGCATTTCGGGAACAATTTGGAAGATACGATCGTATTGACAACAGTGTTTAGGTTTGACGATTGGCGCTTAGCTCACCTCACACTACAAATAAATCCAGGTTCATATTTAGTAATGAGTACCAAATTGTTACTAGTGAGACAACTATTTTGGTGTGGGAGACTATTCTGATAACATTTACACTCTGAGTGACACTCATTCAATATCATCTCCAACAGTATAAGCAGTTTGACAGTAAAAAGTAGAACTTTGTTAGCTCTGATGGTTTAAGCAGGCAAACTTGAAGAGACAATTAGAAGAATCCAAGCCTATTTGAGAAGAAGCTGGAAATGTAAACATTTGCAAAATTTCCAAGTAAACTATAATTTCGTTGCGACACGGATGACGATAGAAAATTCCCGTTGGTGGTTTCTACAAAAGGTTTCTCTTCTAAAGTGGAATGTGCAGTCTAAATACAGAAGTTATAAGACACAAGACTAAATCAGTTGTTGGTAAGAAGTTTAAACTGCAATAATCACTTTCTGCCAATTCATCTTCTTGTCACTTGTGGGTAAATCTAAACTGGTTTGAAGATAGCGAGATACATGAACGGTGAACCATTTGTCTCCTCTACCCCCCNCCCCCCCCCCCCGCCAAAAAAAACGACAGCTAAGAACTCCTATCGGGCTTGATGCGTCCACTTTGTGTTGACGTGACCATTATGGACAGTCCATTTACAATAAAGACTCTTTACAAGACCCTATCAGCGTAGAAAACCAAAATAACTTAGCACTCAGAATATCTCCCTGGTCAGAGATGGAACGTTCATAAAGGAGTTCCTTCAATAAAACACAAAATAAACACAGCCAATCGACACGAGCTAATATACTTGATTTTCGTCAAACAATGGCTGTTCTATATATATTCCCAAAAGTTGTGACAGGAAAATAGGCTGACAGACAGGGATGGACGGGTAGACAGACAGACGAAAAGATAGACAGGTTGTAATGAGCAAGGTGGAATACCTTTAGGTGAATGTGCTCAGAGAAAACTCCTCACGTTATTGGACTAGAATAAGAGCACAATGATAGAAACGTGATACTCTTAGAACACCATTTCAGGCGAATAGTTCTAAACTCGCGCTTTTCTTTAATTTATTATTTCTTTTTCGGAAGTATATGTGTCCCAGGTATTGATCGAATATTGGTGTATATTAAATATATCTTGTCTATTTAGAAGAAATTTCAATTTGACCATTTCCTTTACGGAACTACCTGTCTATGGTTGGAGCATTGCGTGAGTAGCGATAAAGTTAAACTATATGCTTTAGTCGTAGGCTTTCGTGATGCAAGATCATATCACTGCACCGTCTCAAGTGGCTTGGGCACGCCGTACGAACGCATGAAACCATCTACCTCATAATGTGTTATTAGCAGACAAAGGACTAAATTCGAAAAAAACAGCAACGCTGGAAGATATTATATGGATTTCACAGTTGAAGAAGCTATATTCAGATCTAGCTTCTGTCGGCGCAGCCAGGTTTCCAGTTTTGGGTAGTAAATAGTAAGGTGGTCGCTTGTTGAAGAGACTATGATGTACGGTATTCAAACAAATTGAATGATGTGATTGTTTTTTTGTTTAAACAATTCCAATCACAAAAAGACTCAATTGATTTAGTTTTACGCACATTGTGTGCAACATAACAATTTGGTGTTCTGCAAAACCCACCATTATTTTTGTACGGTAGCTGTATCTGCTTTTGTCATCCCCATGACATGCACTCAGTTTACGAATGTCTTAATCACAGTTCAGCTGTTCTGGTGAACGAAAAGTGGCAAAGCATCAGGCCTCACAAGATCAGACAGATCTGGCAGTGCTGATGGAGATCGGTGTGTTGTACTATCCCTCCCATCTCGAAACCCGGTGTGTGATAGAAACATTAGAGGGAGTTTTGTTGCTCATATTCATGTCGTTGCAATCATGTGTTGTTCATACGTACACATACACACACACACACACAACCAAACTCGCATGGACTACCATTATTTCTAGTAAGCACACACTCACCATGTCCATTAATGTCAAATACGTTGTTGTCCGGATGATCAATAGCATAATTACACATGCCCGTATCATCGCCCAGTCTGTTCTCCCTTCCACGATCCAAGTCCAGTGCGGCGTAGGCCGTGACCTTGCCAACAATGGCGCCAGCCGGCAAACTGGAATCGACTAGAAAAGTGTACTCACGCTCCGCCCAAACCGGTTGTTCTGTTGGCACAAGCTACGTACCACGAGATCAATAAAAAGAACATATGGGACATACAGTAATTGTAAATTGATGAGACGATTTTGTGTGTAAATGAGTCAAACATAGACAGAGAGCACACCAGAAAGCGCCTTCAAATGGGGACAATTTTGATGTAAGTACAAACATACACGCGGACAGTGAGTTTTTATTGATCGATTGCACGACACAACTGCCGATAAATTTTTATCTCAAAATTCAATCAATCCAAAATTAATAGCTTGGTAATAAATAGGTGGCGTATGTGTTTATACGTTTCTATCTATGCATGATTTTCACTGTAGGTTATAAAAAGAAACGTTTGCACCAGATTTTAATAGTGTATGAAAAATTTGGCAGCTGATTGATCAAAGAATTCGATTAATGTAAAAGTACTTCAGGACGGTGAATTTCTCATCTGTGCATAAGGTTTTTCTCGACGTTTTATTAGAATGAAGAACATCAAATTAATGCCTACAGTTCGTGATGAAGAATAGTCTCAACTAGTAGTAGCCCTATTCGTGGTAGGAGCCAACTTATGTTTAACTAGACATGAATCGTTAACTAATCCACCAAAAGTGCTTATTTCTATCCTTTTTAAAACTTCAATTCATAATTTCTCCGCTTTTTCATTAGTTTCACCATATTTTTTCAAAGCTCTGTGAAGACTTATTTCGAAATCGAGTGGATGTTCAATAGACCAAATGACTACAGGGTTACCCGATTGGTTGTGGCACTAATTTTTGAAGGTCATGGTTTGATAAGGGCAAAGCAAAAGATCTACTTGAAACGAATTTTTGGTGTCAATTTTTGATAAACTGGAATAACTGGATGCCTTGTCTTATCAGCACATTTTGTAGTGCATAATTGGTTTTGCATCAGAAAACCCTTTCAGTTGTGTTGTTGTCGTTCTTTCTGTTGTTACTGTTCTATCTAAGTTTTTTTAACTAAGGGGGGAGGCGACTGTATTTCTGATTCTTCCACTGCCTTTTCTCAAAGTAGGAGATAAATTTACATTGTGAATTGTTTATTTGCATGTATCGCAAAACAGAATACAACCAACCATGGACTGTGGTAATCTCGAAAACAAACTCACACACTATTGGCCACCCGTATGTGTGCGCTCCAGAAAGCCACCAATTTGTTCTCGCAGGTCTAGGAATAAACGCAACGGTCAGTTTCTATTATGTTCGTATTGTGGGGGTAGTGGAACGTGTGAATGAGTTGGTGAGGGCGTTGATATCAGGGTGTGGGACCTAACGGCATGCATACGTACTCCTCAGACGAGTGTGTGTGTGTGTGTGTGTGTGTGTGTGAGGGAGAAAAAGTGAGGCACCGATGGTAGNACGATAAACAAGCCGTGATCGAAACCGGGAACACAACTCGTCGCTATGACAACAACTGTGTACATTCAAAAACTCAGGGCACCGTTAGAGAATGGTAGTTTTCCCCTCGGGGCTTTGTAGATCTTGTAGACACAAGGTATTTAAAACCTAACTGAAGCGATTTCAATGTACTTACTCCCTTAGATACAAGCACACATCTGTTTTTCTCAATGATCTAGGTATCAACCTTGTTTCTGTTTTTGTATTTTTAACCTCACCCCGCACCCCACTTTCTGCGCATCGGATAATTTCTAGCAGAAGTGATGAAACTTTCAAATCAATAACTACTATCCATCAGCAAACATTTAGCCAGTTTAACTCAAGTGTTTGGATCCGTTTTGTATTGTGCTTTTGAGTTTCTTGGAAAAGGGAGGAGAGGGCGTAAATGGAAGGGCTATGTTTGATAAAATATGAAAACACTACTTATTACTGACACGTTTCCCTTCGATTGATCTTCAACATTACGTAACTCAGTAAGATTCTAGTCTGGAGGATACAAATATCTGTGTTTTTATTGTGTTGTCAGTGTGCATGATAGAAGAGAAATTCCATCACGACCAAAGAAGCTGTCCATGATTTTGATGCGAAGAGTGGAGCGTGGAGTGGGGGTGGGGGTTGGTACGAGGGAATGTATTGATCACAGCAAAGACCAAAACAGATATGTATATCCGATACAAAAGGAACCAACGAACCCAATTGTTTGAGGAATCAACGAAACTCTCAGGGACGGGGCAAAAAGGACGAAATCATGAAGAATGCAAAATGATGCATCAATCTGATGTGTATTTTTCTGGCTGTCTTTCCATCAGCCATACTTTTTTTAAGAAAAATCGTGATGACTGACTTGAAATTACTAGCAACGGGTAGAAGAATATAAATAAATTCAACCAAAAATAATCAAGAAGATACCTGATATCTCGGTTCTGACTTGAGGGTTTATAAAAATAGAACTGTGACTAAATAATTATCGTTCACGTATCGCCTTGTTTCATTGCTCCATTGTGAACGAGTCAATTGTTTTCATACTGTGCGCATCTCGTCCGGTGCGGCAGAACATTGTTCCTCTCAGTTGCTCATTTTTTTATGCATCAGTCTGACATTTGAAGATTGTTATTGCACAGGAAATCAAACGCATGTTGGATGTAAGATGACAAAACAATAGTACTTGTAAAAAGAATGCACTTAAATGCAACATACTCTTAGTTCAATCACTACTGTTTGATCACCAAAAACGCGATTATATTGATCTCCATCAAGACATAATCAAGTGCGTAGCTGCGCTTAAATACATTGTACAATATTTTCTGTGATATTTTAGCATTCTTCAGTTTTCTCAGCTCTGATATGAAATTTTTCGTTCGTAGCACTAAAACACGTCCAAACAACCAAGAATTGCTTTTATTCATGGAGAAAATCACACAGGGAAATCTCCAGGGGTTAAAAATATTTGACTAGTTTAGTCTGTTGTGTTATCAATCGCACATGGTCTATCAACGGTTCGACATATTGGGAGAAAAGACAAGTCGGTAAGAGTTTGGCTGAGGCTGTTACTGGGTCCTACGGATTACTAAGCCAGTCAATCACTGATGTTAGTTATTGGTGGTTTTGCGGTGACGGGTCTTTGAAAATCTCAATGCATGTATGACTTTCTAAGTGAATGAAACCACAGCCTGGGTTGTTTGGCCATGTTTGCATTACACCTGGCCAACAACTCTAGACCAAGACTAGTGAAACCATTGTCAAGAGCTACTAGCCATGTTATTTAACATAACACAAAACACTATTCGCCATCCCACTTTGAGAAATGCTCAATACGAGTAGAATTCGAATATATTGTTTGTTTTCTCAAAAGCTGCTTTTATTCGTTTTGTCTGAGGGTAAATTTTGGCCTAATACGAGAGAGTTAGCAGTCACTGGTGGAATTCCGTGCTCGCATTTACCGGTAAAATAGTTACGCGGTTAACGGTACCTTTGCTCAGTAAAGTACCTCCTTCAGTAGGAGATCTGTCAGACCAAAGGAAATCAATAGTCAGGCTCCTTCAGACTAATGTCACTAGCAATTAAAATAAAATTGCCATTAACAAAGGGGAAAAATGAAAAGAATAACTAAAAATTGAAAATGATGTCTCAATGGGAATAAGAACAACCTAAGTAAAAATTGGTAATTAAAGTTTTTCCGAAAGGTGAAGATTTCAGTCTGAATGGAAAGGCAGTCAGTACCATTGGACCAAAATGCATCAGATGAGGTTGTTACATGTTATTTTCTTGATTCTGGTTGTCTCGCTTTTTCCTCCTCCTTTTTTCCGAAATGTTCTATAAACAGTTATATATACCAACAACTTACCAATGTTTTTATTTACCGCCTTCAACTGCTTGCTTGCTTATGTGCACAAGATAAGTTGATCGATCAGCTACTTTACTGAACAAAAAAAAACCGAATTGTGAAATTGATCAATGAAGAAATAATCATTATCACAGGAGCTGTGTGCGCAGCCTCGGGCTAGAGAATCTAGGTTAAGTACACTCACAAGCTGGATAACAGAAAACAAGAGAGAAAATCCTCTATTGGTTTTCAAAACCGAAAACAGATTTTCAATCACATTGAGATCTGGGCTATTAGGGTGAAGTTGCATGAACTGAACCTTAGAGTCACAAATGGTTTCTGAAGTCTAAAAGCAAATAATAAGTGAACCATACTCCTTCACTAAATACATTTACTGACTTCTCATGAAATATGACACGGAGCGTTATCCTGGAAAACAATAACGTTT